TTCGGCCAGTCAGGTGCTTGCTGTGCCACACCCGGCCGGGGCTCTCTGGCTTTGTCCCATATTTGTCCCATATTTGTGCGATACAAACATGGATCAATACACTGGTGGCTGTCACTTGTCACCGATCTTGCACTTGATGCTAGTGTCTCCGCCCATCTCGCCCACGTCGCTTAGCCATGTTCTTTTCGTCCCTGACGTACTAACAAAACTCTGGCCATACTAATGAGTTTGCTAAATCCTGACGATCAGCTACCATGTCGACCATGAGCGCGGGCTTGCTTGCTCGATAACAAGTCGAACTTCATCTAGAGGACATCCACTGGATATAAAAAACATCATGTTTGCCTTGAGGTGAGCCAGACTGCCCACATTCCTTTGTGACCAAATGTCTGACGAGTCATTCCCGCCAATCTTTTCACCGACGCGCTCCAACACCCACGATCCCTATGGGCAATTGCCCTGGATCCGGAGGATTCGTTCGACAAAGAACACTATTCTTTCGTTTGAAGGACGCCAGCTCTTTCCGTGGTTCTGGTAAGTACTGAACATTTTTTTTACTCGATTATACTAACATCTACAGGCCTGTGAACAATCGCGGCGAGAGAGTCACTCCGGACGAACTCAATGACCATCGCCTCACGCATGAATTCCGAGGGCCTGGATGCCTCTGCGCATCTCGCATCCAGGCCCCTGATGCTTTTACAGAAGCCCGCATCTTCTGTGCTGAGAGCGGCGTTGTCACAGGTCAATGGGTTGCCGCTTGCGGCAGGGGGGAGTGCAAATATTTTGGTGAGTATTCACACTCTGTACATATAGAACGAATTGGGCTCACTTCAATGCATACAGTTCGTCTAGAGCCTTTTTACATCAAACTGGGGCACCCGATCCGTCGCTACGACCGTCGTCGTAAGTCCGTGAAGATGATACAGGAGTTCTTTAGCTAACAGCAAAGACAGAGAACCCACTGCATCCGGTTCCAACTGACACCGATAATCCGGATGTCCCACCATTGGTTTCTACTGAGCCGAACACACCTACTGGCCCACGTCGTACCACCCGCACCCGCAGTAAGTACTCATTTATTAATGTGTTCCTGGCTTATCTCGTCAACCCGTATAGCCTTGCGACGTGCCGATGCGATGAATCCACTCATCAATGCTGCAGTGAGTCGTGCAGAACGTCAGGCACGCCATCATGGTACGCATATCCGAAGTAAGATATACCATCGTATTTATGTGCCCAAGCAGGAAACCGACCACTTGTGATCGTGCAAGGGCGAGGCAAAACTGATGTTGATAGGCATGATCCATTTGCCATTGCTCCGGGCAACCGTCCGCTTGCACCTGAACCCATGCGCGCATTTGGGCTCCTCCTCAAACTGGATGATTTCGAGGATCCGGGACTAACGACAGGCCAATTTAAGAGCCTGTTCGCAAAGTGTCAATGCGGCCTCGTCATGACCAAGTCGGCCTATGACTACCACGAGTGTGCACTCAAGAATGTTGTCATCGATCTCACTGGAGACGACTAACCGCACACTAGGCTGATGAACCATGTGCTATCTGCTAGCTACTCCTACTCTTCCCTGTCGTTTCTGTTATTTCTGTCTCGTTTATCTACATTTTAATCGTCCGTGCTGAAGTTGCTGACTAATGTCGCTTTACAATACTTCCTATTTTGGTCGCTTGCTTCACCATTCGCTAATTGCTTTCTCGTACTTCATTGTTTGCTTATCGCTCCTTGTTTTCTCTTTGCTATCTCGTACCTTGTCGCCCTTGTCTAATGCTATACATGTTGTCTACGCAATTTGGTCCTGATGGTGGTGAAGCATATTCATGAGGCTTGTATGCCTCGCATCATTGACACACAAAGACAGTCTTTGGCCATGAGCCTAGCAAGGGTATTCACCTTGACGATACTCTTTGTACCCACATCCAGTACATATGCACTTACTGAGCAACAGAGGAGTGACATTGAGGACGAGGATGTCGGTGACATTGCTGGCCAAGACACCACCCTGAGAGTCGTTCAAGGCCTTCTGACCCTGCTGCTCAGGCATCAGGCCTCTTGGTGGTATCATGACCAAGTTTGTCCAGTGCAACATGACTATCTCAAC